TGACAAAATAGAAGTAAATCTTACAATAAAAATACTTTATATCCTAAAAAAGTTACCTAAGTACTGTAACGAAGTAAATGTGCTTTATTAAAATACACCTCTGCAATTTGGTGTCTCCAACTGGTCACCAACGTTCCTAGACCAATGAGATATTGGCTTTATTTTCACACAAYGACATCATCATGCTTTATCATAAAAACACATAAATAAACATCAAGAGAAAGTATAAATAAAAACGTCACAAATCAGCACAGCACAGACAAATGGTTGAAAAGTRTAAAAGAAAAGCTAGACAAAAGAAAAGCACATTTCTTTGAACCAATAAGAGACAGAAACTGAAATGGCTTCAAAACAAAACTAAAATGTGATCAAGGTGAAATTAGACAGCGTGCTCCAGACCTTGACCCCTGGAATACCGTCCAGTCCCGGGATGCCAACATCCCCCTAGTGACAGCACAACATACACACAGTGGCTGCATTCAGTTTGGTGCATTATATTAATTGAAACTCTTATTCATGTAGAAACTTTATATTTTTGAAGACAGTAATGGCACAAAACTGGAGCATTTTTTTCCAATGTTTTATCTCCAGTAGGGCCTGCGTGCTGAATCAGTGGCTTGAAATAAAAAGGTAACATCRGGTTCAGCTTTTAGGTTTCACAAAATTCCTTTACTTCTTCTTGCCGTGTATCATAATGGCAACTTATATACATTTAACCTTCATCTGATGCAAGTTTAAACTGTTTTGCACAGATCCAGTGTCCAAATATACTCACTTATTGAGTTTATAGCCAGTTCTAAAAAGGTTTGCTTAAAACTCTATTATCTCTGTTTTGCTTCTTCAAATGATTTCAACAAAAAGGCAGTCCATCTAGTAAATGTCAGCTTGCTGTTAGYGCAAAGCTGGGTCCCACCCACCTGCGGTTCAAAGACAGAAACCAACCTCAGCCCTCAGAGCATCTGTTGCCAGAAACAATTAACCTCCTGACCTGTGCAAACCCACCACATCATTACCCTTTGRAAGGACCTGTTTCTCAAGTTAAACAGATAACTCTGACCAGATGAAGCTGATTAATGAAAAATACCGCTATAAATGGACGATACCATAAAGTCTGATACAGTAAAATACAATATAGTGTGATACAAGCCATTATAATATGATGTAACATGGTAAACTATATGACATGATATAATTCTTTATGATACGTCAGGGATGGGCAACTTAAATGATGGAAAAGGCAACAATGTTTTATTGACACTACCAGAGGGCCACATAGCACACTATCATACGGATTTCATGCTCAAATGCATGTATAACAGTTGTACTGTTGCTTAATAAATATGAATACAAAACATTTGAAGCAAACAAAAAAAAAAAACACTTTAGTGTGCCGAAATGCAACAACATAAAATGCTTTGAGTGCAGACTCCTGAGTGGTTGTGGTTCTGGTAAAGAGTTACTGTTGTTTATGTTCTTAAGACTTCAGTAAACTTCTCATATTTAGCTTTCTGCAATGTGTCATAGTGGCAGCTAGGTTTGTCTCAAAATTCTGTCAAAAGAAATTAAAAAAAAAGAATAAATC